TAGATATTCATCAGCGAATGAAAGCCCAAAATGGCTATTCACCGTCTCTTTGTGGTTGGCTATTCTACTTCGTACAAAACTTGAGCTGCAAAAAAAAAAAAAAAAAACCTGAGACTGCTGAGGGCCTATGCTCCATTTGGGGGTAGGTAAACTGCCAACTGCATGTACTAACATAGCAGTCGATTGGCCTGTTCCAGGTTCAATCAAGACAAAGCTGTATGGTACACAGGGAGATCTGAACTGCACGATAGCTTTCTTCAAGGGTACTGGCCTTGCGATACTTTTTTCTGAGAGAAGGATCAAAGAAAAAGAAGAAGTTTAACCAACAGCACTTTGAAAACAGACTCACAAGAAGATCCGAACCCTTTTAAGATAGTACTAGTTATCATGAGAAAGGTGGAGACAGGCATACTCCGTGCAGACTGGCAAGCATCACTTCAAAGGTTTCGCCAGTGTTGTGGGAAATGAGCAGGTAGAAAGACTGGCCGGTTTTGCACCGCTTGATGGTGAACTGATGGATGATAAGCTGGATGTTGTGACAGCTCTTTGGGAGCGATTGAACAGTGCAGAGGCACAGATAGATCATTACGGTCTGGGGAGAATGGTGCTACAATGAGTTAAAAGGGGATCTGGCCACCGCTCAACACTCAGGAGAAAGGCAAGACAGATATACAATCATACAGTTACTGGTGCCACAAAATTGGAACTCTTCGCTTGCTGCTGAAGATGAAACCGAGCGCTTATGGGGGTGTCCCGAGTGCTGTGATGTTGATTCTTAATTCAACATACTAGTTATCAGAAGCCATGCTGGAGGACTTGGATGAATGAATCACATAAAAAATATCATACACAGGAGATACACAAAGAGATCTCCTCCATTAAGGTTCAGCACATCACATCATCCATGATGTGCTACACTAGCGTAAAGATGACAGAACACTGCATGTCAAAAGTAGGGTGGCCGTCTTTAACCTGTCATTATGATGTCAGCGTGTTTCTCTGCACTGTGATGTCACATGCTTAACACTCTTGGCATCCTTAACAACAATACTAACACATTACAAGACAATGGCATGGCTATTGTAATAATTTTTGGGATACTCTTTAAATGACCAATTTGATACTATGTTGATTATTTAAGGTAAAAACCTGTCATTTAAATTTTATGGATTTGTCAATGACAAATGTGATACTAAAGTTGATTACTGAAAGTAAAAACTTGTTATTTAAATTCTGGAATACCATATAAATGAAAAATGTAATACCAAGTTGATTATTTAAAGTAAAACTTATTATATACATTTTCAGGATACCTTTGTAATGGAAAATGTTATACCAAGTTGATAATTGAAAGTAAAAAAAACTTACATCTTCCCAGCAGACCACTATTGCTGTTGATCATTTTACTAGCACCATGTAAGGACTGGGCAGTAACGGGGATGTGGTCAGCGACTCCGTCCAGAGGGAATATCATCTCTTCTGACTGACTACCGAAGCTATGGGTGGTCAGACCTTCAACAACAAAAACATAACAGCAGTCTGTCACTTTGCAGAAATTCATCTGTGTTTACACAAGTCTGTCATTAGGTTAATTTGACACTACCCAACTATTTAATTAATTTCCTCACCCAACTATTTAATTATTCTCTTCATCCTACCATGACCAAACCATTCAATTCATCTCTACACAAACCATTCAATAAATCTCTTTATTCAACCATTTAATTCATCTTTTCGACCAACCATTCAATTAATCTCTTCCACCCAACCATTCATCTCTTTATCCAACCATTCAATTAGTCTCTTAATTCAACCATTTAATTCATCTCTTCATTCAACTATTTAATTCATCTCTTCCACCAACAATTCAATTAGTCTCTTCATTCAACCATTTAATTCATCTCTTTATTCAACATTCATCTCTTCATTCAACCATTTAATTCATTTCTTCATTTAACCATTTAATTCATCTCTTCATTCAACAACCTTTGATATTTAACACTGAGGGGAAAACTTAGGTGGATTTTAATCAGATTGCAACTGGCAATATTAGCCTGGGGACTTCATTGCTACCAGCAAGGATACACAGCATGTGTAGGAATGTCTTGAATGCAGTGATTCCAATTCTTTATTCCAGTTGAGTTGAGTCAAGAATTGTTATCACAGCACTTGGGACATTCCCAAGCATGCTCCATCCTGATCTTAAGCGCAGAGTTCCAATACTGATGGTACCAGTCAAAATCTGGTTATATGTCCGTTTTGCCTTTCCTCCGAGTGTAGTGAGCCAGCCAGACCCTCTAGTTACATCCAGGTGCCTCATTCTCTTGAGGCCATAATAATCTTCTTTCTCTACTGATTCTGTTGCTAGTTCCCTAAAGCCCTTGACCACAATTCTTGATTCCATCATCCATCTAACCAGTAATCAGACCGATAAACAAACCAACCAACCATTCATTCACCTAACCAACAAACCAACCATTCATTCAACCAACAAACTAACCATCCAACTAACAAATCAACAATCTAACCAACAAACCAAACACCCAGCCAACATATCAACCAGACTGACTATGCAAATGTATGAAAGAAAACCCTTGAAGGTGACAGACAAGTCCCCATAACCTACTAGATCTAGCGCCATCACTGACTTGAGACGTCAATTTTGGGCCACTGGCAGATGCTGCACTGTTTGACTGATTCTTCTCCTGCAGGCCAAGGCAACAACCAGTCACAGCAATCTGAAAGTACACAGTCAAGGATTAACTATCTTTTTCCCCCCCCCATCTCACTGATACCAGGCTGTAGCCCAGTGTCGTGGTTTTGTCGTCTCACTGATACCAGGCTGTAGCCCAGTGTCGTGGTTTTGTCATCTCACTGATACCAGGCTGTAGCCCAGTGTCGTGGTTTTGTCATCTCACTGATACCAGGCTGTAGCCCAGTGTCGTGCTTTTGTCATCTCACTGATACCAGGTTGTAGCCCAGTGTCGTGGTTTTCTGTAGCTGGCTTGGGCGGTGGATTTGTTCATCTTTTCAGAGGATTCAGCTGTACCATTTATCCACATCTTTCTTGGTCTTCCCCTAGCCTTCCTCCCAGATGTTCTGCTGTAAAAAGTATTGTATGCAGGATTAACCAACAACATTCACTAAATTGTTTTTGTTTTTAAATCCCTGTGTTGATTACGATATTGTCTATCAGGCTTGTGTTCTCAGCACTCTGCTTTATGGCAGTGAAACTTGGTCAGCTTATTTGCACCAGGAGAAACCGCTAAATAGCTTTCCCATGCGATGCCTAAGAAGAATACTTGGCATTAAGTGGCAGGACAAGATCTCAAAAATTGAGGTATTGGAGAGAGCAGATACTACAACAGTCTTCTCAATGCTGAGCCTAGGAAGGCTCAGGTGGCTGGGTCACACCGAAGAATGGAGGATGGCAGAGTCCCTAAGGACATCCTTTATGGTTAACTAAAGAAGGGTAGAAGATGTTGAAGCCGACCTCTACCACAATGTAAAGGTGTGTGTAAGTGGGACATTAATGATACATGTATTAAGGTGGACATGGGTGAACAAAATGCCATGGACCATGTTTTGTGAAGGGGGCACATCAGGAAAGGAATGAGAATGAAGGAAGAAATGATTGCAGAAAGGATGAGAGCTGCCCGTCTGAGAAAAAAAAACAACAGACTAAACAATTGTCCTGAAATCCCATGATAAAATTGCGGAAGACTTTTCATAATGCGGCCGGGTTTTGCTAGTCACACTCGCCATCGCCATGAGCTGTGAGTCCCATGCCTCCTCATAGTGCAGTATAACACCGTCGTATGGGAAAAATGGAAAAGTTCCAATCAATCAATCAATCAAAATCAGGTTACGAGGCAAAGTGGACAGGAATCCATAGTGAAGTAGTTATCACATCCGTCCAACACACAGAAGGTCCTGGGTTTAAGCCCTCGCTAAAAAAAAAAAAAAATTTGGAGCTGGCCTGGTGTAGCAGCTAGACGCTCACCTACGGATCAAAAGGTCATGGGTTTGAGTCCAAATGGAACTAGACCTTGAAAAAACAAGATGACCTTGGCTTCCAGGTTGACCCAGCCTTAAATGGATATGAGATAAAGTCCTGTGAAGAAACGATGGCCAGCGTGATGCTGACCAAATCACCCATAGAGTGCCGATTGGTCTAAATAATATAGGTCTAGCCATGTATGCCCAATTACGCCTGAAGGAGTGTGGAAAAACGACCTTGACTTTACTTATATGGCAATGAGACTGAACTGGGTTCCTGTAGCTGATGACTCCCATTGATGCTTTATTAATATTTTACCCCAAACAGGGGAAATCCATAGGTCACGGGTCAGTCTAATATTTTAGGTGGTGGTAGATAGGGTGCATGCAGTCAGGGAACCTAGGCTACACTCTCTCGTGGGACGTAGGTGGGCTGGGGTTAGGGCCAGTTCTAGTTGTTTTGGGGTCGTTAAAAGCATCAGAAAGCCGGGAAACCCACTCTTACCACCCTCTAAAATGTTGGAATGTCCTGTGATGTCATCTGGGGGTAGGATATTAAAACACCCTTCCATCCATGATGTTACAGGATGAAAATCTGGAGGGGAAAAGCTTTAAAACAAATTTATATTTATGCCTGATGTGCCACTGTCATAAAATATGACCTTTACTTGACAACATTTAAACATAAAAATAATAAGTAAAGGTCCCTTTTCCACGCCTTTACACAAATAGGGCTAGACCTATATTTTTATAGACCAATCTGCACAAGATAGGTGATGTGGTCAGCTTCACACCGGCCGCCTTTACTTCCCAGGACTGCACCCGGTATCCACTCAAGGCTGGGTCGACCTGGAAGTCAAGGTCATTTTAAAAAAAAAAAACTCTGGCTCCGCCAGGAAGCGAACCCACGAACTTCCAATCCGCGCGTCTAGCCGCTATGCCACGGTGACTCCCACATTTAACCATACAAATTAAATATTTACAACAGTTGCTAGGCTTACAACAATCTCATCCTCGTCTGGCAAGTCTACGTTGAAACACATGTCTGTCAGACAGCAAGGTCGCAAGTGACGCAGCTTGAAAAACAGCCGCTAGTTGGAGAAAACAAAGATATCAAACATTTCATTAACTGAAAACAATATTTTACCACTGCGAATATAACTTCCTGTGTCTTCATGTCACCGGGACCCTCAGACATGTCACAAGAGAAGACTAAGGGTCAGGCTGAGCTTGAAGTTGGTTGCTTCATCAGGTGAAAAACAATAACCATAAAAACCAACAAATCTTGTAAAGGTACCAAAAAAAACCCAGACTGCAACAAGTAATATCTAGCCAACCAAGACTGTGGGAGCTTAAAAAGGAGTCTGCATTGTGGACGCTCCTCTGAAGATCATAGCTTTGCTTTATGGGGGTATCATTCATTTCATGAGTGCAAATTTTCTGCAGACCTTTGGGGATCATCATTGGAGCCACGGAGTAAGTGCTTTTTGCGATGCTCTTGGCAGACGGTTAGCCATTCTGCGGACAGAGAGAGAGAGGCCGAGCCATATAGGATAAAACCCAGTGCAAAAAAAAAATATATCCTCTCAACTTTAACAACTACAAGCTTCCTATGAAATATGGGTTTCACAAAATAAAAGCAACCGATCGGCTGTGGGTTTTACCACAAACCAGCACATACTCCATCCCCTTCTTTAGTAGCCATCAGTGAAGAGTTCCCATGCAGATGGTGCCAATTGAAACATGATTAAAAGTCCTCCTCGTTTTACCTCTCATGCTGACAACCAACCGTCCAGGTCTTCAGCTTACTCCCTGCTGCATCAGTCTTTCCAGGTATGGATACTGTTGCACTGTCCACTTGATTCCAGACAGCCTTCATCAAATCCACTTTATCATAAGATATCTCACTGCCCTGTAGAGCGACAGCAGCTCATTTATCAGCCTGTTAATTACCAAGCTCACCTGAATGTCCTGGGCTAACTATCCAGGATATGTTTCTGATCTGAGTCTTATCAAGCGATGCAAGCTACTCTACCTTTAAGGTGTCAATGTCTGTTTTTCAAAGCAGCTGCTGCAAGTCGGTTACAATTACAACATGCTGGGCTTCACCGCTCTCTAGCCGTCACGTAAGACCAGCTAACTTACCCTGAGAATTGTGTTGAAGACATCAGAGAAATCCAGATTTGAAGTGGATGTTGGCTGGTACCTCACCCTGACCATCTGAGTGAACATCTAAGGATGAGATAACCACAATATAAATGTACTGTTTCTACAGATTCTCTTCCGTAAAACAATGCCAGGCAGAGTTTATCATCAACATAATCAACAAGCTCTCTGCAGACTGGTATGGGTGATCATGTCTCTCCGCATCTTGTGATTCCCAAGTATCAATCTGTTTGCTGACAACTTTGTGTCCATGAGAACAGGCTGTTATATTGATAAAAAGAGGGGAAAATGGAACATGTGACTACTGGAAAGAGTTGTGGAAAGAGAGATAGAAAAAGATTCAACATGTGACCACTGGAAAGAGTTGTGGAAAGAGAGATAGAAAAAGATTGAACATGTGACTACTGGAAAGAGTTGTGGAAAGAGAGATAGAAAAAGATTCAACATGTGACCACTGGAAAGAGTTGTGGAAAGAGAGATAGAAAAAGATTGAACATGTCACTACTGGAAAGAGTTGTGGAAAGAGAGATAGAAAAAGATTCAACATGTGACCACTGGAAAGAGTTGTGGAAAGAGAGATAGAAAAAGACTGAACATGTCACTACTGGAAAGAGTTGTGGAAAGAGAGATAGAAAAAGATTGAACATGTGACTACTGGAAAGAGTTGTGGAAAGATAGAAAAAGACAACACAAGAAGATTCTTGACAGACTTTCCTCTTTGAATGAAGTGGTATCAGCACAGAAGGTGATGAATGTTTTTTGGAGATCCCAGGTTGTGGAGAGGCATAATCACTGACGGCAGTAGCAAGGCACCTGGTGATGATTACTACTTTTCTCTATATCTCTTTCCATAAATCTTTCCAGAGGTCCTAATATTCTCTAACTTTCCGTTCTCATAATGTGGTCAACAACTGATAGCTGTAGTTTCCTGACTGCGATAAGCTACGTTTATGTCGAATCCTTTTTCATGTCATTCAGATAACTGATTTTGGTTGTCCAAGTAATTATAACAACTGCAGTGAAATTCCTGCCAAGGGTTTTTAATAAAACAAGAAGAGAGAAAATAAGAAATGAACAATAAGTGAAATGGTTTGGCCATATAACGTGGATGCTAACAAATAGTATACCACAGCAAGCAATCATGTGCAGGCAGCGGGAAGAGAAGAAGAGGTTGACCATGCAAACGATAGATGGAGGAAATAATAGAGACTTCGGGAATACCCATTAATAAAGCATACTAAGGGGGCACTTTCTCGTAAATTATTCATCACATCGACACCGCAAGGTACAAGAGGATCAAGATGAGATCACCAGTTATTACTATGCTTCTGTAAAACAGATCTCTAAGACCTCAAAAATTTTGTTTTTTTAGATTGTTTACTTTCTTGGCCAGGATTCACATAATTCATTGCCCTGTTGTGTTGTTTGATGTCACACAGGGCTTAGTCTTTTCCTCCACACTGTGCCATCTCTCCGACACCACGGATGGAACCCAGTCTAGCACCTCCTCCACTGCCATTAGCAACCATCATAGATGCACTTTGTGCACCACACATCACTCAGTTCCTCGGGCGGAAAAAAAGAAAAGTCACCCCTTTCCCGTACAAGCATGTCATAAGAGTCAACTAATTAGAGCTGTTTCCTTAAAAGTCAGAGTGCATCTACCTGAGAGGCGAGAAACCAACAGTCTGCATGCAATGGATGTGCACACAAATGGATATTCATTCAAAACTCAGGTTTTGGAACAAGACTCAAGTCCAGAAGTGGATGAACAACCAGAACATTCTGCCTGAGTTTACAGCTGATGAATGTGAATGAATGCACACACTCACAGAAGAAGCAAGAGAGAGATGCAAATGTAGCACCAAAATGCACATATGTCTACCTGTAAATTAGCTGTGATCCTGTCTGGTGCTATCCCAGTTGGGGTCTGTGTGTTACAGATCTCATAGCCTTCTGGTGGGAGGACATCCTGCAGTATCAGAGATACCGCATCATCCTTCAGATCATCAATCTGCAGACAAACACAATCTTTTATATTCAAGTAATGCAGATGCAAACAATGCACTGTACAATTTACTGTTGGAAATATTTCACTATATCTCATCAGGTGCGTTACTAAAGCCATGTATCCTCATCAACATATAATGAAGCATACAAAATAAATCATTTTCCTGCTGTCAAGTTAGGCTGAATCTCTGTATCGGAAATCTTTTATATATTTATCACTTAACCACCTGTCGGTACACAGGCAGAACAATCTCTTGGTACCATGTAATGCATCACACACTGCTGGAAAGATAGTATACATTTCTTATTCTCTTCTATTGCAAACAACTCTCACATGAACTCATTATATCCTATTTGTTAATTGTTACTGTTTCTGTCCCGTAGTGTTATTATTTTTATTTCTTTGCACTCAAACATGAGCTTCTGTAAGCTAGCTTCTAATGACAGAAGGGGTTAAACTAACTACAGGCTGGTATGAAAGAGTTAAATCATGTTTATTGACAGATAAAACAAACTTTTCAATATGTATCACATAAACCTTTTATCTATAGACAGATAAAACAATCTTTTAAATATCTATCACTTAAACATTCTATCTATAGACAAATAAAATATTATTTTAAATATGTATCACTTAAACCATCTATCTATAGACAGATAAAACAATCTTTTAAATATGCATCATTTAATCCATCTTTTTACAGACAGATAAAACACAACATTTTAATTTTTCACTTAAACCGTCTATCTGTCTGTGTAAAATGTTTAAAAAACAAAAAAATATTTCATAAATTCCCATGCTTCAAGACCGATTTTTTTTAAAGCATCCATGGGGCGAATTGCAAGAAACAGCATGACTGATTTGACTCTTAAACAACTGATCTACTCACAACTAGGACAAAAGTGTTTTTGTCTTTTGTTGCCTCCAAGAAAATGCTGCCATCCTCCTCTTCCTCATCTGTTTCCTCATCAGCTTGTGTACTCTGAGAGTTATTTTCTGGTTGAGGTTCCTGTATAAAACTAAGAATTGTTGTTAAACTGTCTCATATATCATTGCTAAGCATGTTTTCTGACATCAAATAGAAGCATAATCATCATCATCAACTCCCTGTGATGGCTCCTGGGCCACAAATTGTTGGGGGGGGGGGGGGGGAGAATTATAGACACTCCCATCAACCCCCCCCCCCCAACAAGCATGTTATAAAAGTTGACTAACTAGGGGTGTTTCTTTTGAAGTCAAAGTGCATCTGCCTGACAGGTGAAGAACCATCAATCTTCTTACAAATAAGCCAGAATTGGTAAAATGGATGTGAATGCAAAAGTCAAGTTCAGGAACAAGACTAAGGTCCAGAAGTGAATGAACAACCAGAACTTACTGCTGGAGTTTACAGCCAGTGAACGCCAATTAGAAGGAGAAGAACAAGAAGAAGAATGTTGATAAGAGAGGCCAATGGAGCTGAATTCCTCCATGATATCCAAAGGCCTGCTCACGATAGACTGGAAAGGATGAACAGGCAGTAAGTCAGTGTCACATATATATATGGCACGACAGGATGATAATGATGATATGCATATGATAGGAACTGTTGCTGACATCTTTGCACCTCTAAAACAACAATATTACACTGTGATATAGGCAGGCATGTTACTCAATGACATCTTCTTCTTCTTCACGTTCACTAGATGTAAACTCTGGCAGAAAGTTCTGGTCGTTCATTTACCTCTGAACTTTAGACTTGTTCCAGAACCTGAGTGTTGCATGCACATCTGTTTACAGATCTGACTTATCTGTATGCAGACTGTTGGTTCCTTGCCTCACAGGCAGATGCACTCTGACTTCGAAGGAAACCCCCAATTAGTCGACTCCTATGACATGCTTGTTAGAGAGGCAGTGGGTCTATTCTTGTTTTCTCCACAATGTGGCTCCAGAACCCACACGGGGAGCACAATGCAACAAAAAAAAAGACAGAGAATTCATACACTGACAGATTTTTGCACTAGGGACTTGAAGAAGTCATCAGCCTCTTTCCATCCTTCCAGACACTAGTGTTTTATCTGGTCAGAAAGAGGAATGGGAATCACAGCTCATGGCGACGCCATGCAACTCTTTCAGTCCCCAACAACAGCTGTTTTATTAATCCCCTTTCATTAGGAAGGTGTCAACTGCAATGTTGTTATATTCATGTGAGAAATAATGCACAATGAGCAGACAGGTTAAAGCGGCAGAGATGTGGTTTTCAAGAAAAATGTGTGCTTTATTAATATCCTACCCTAAATGTGGGAAATACACAGGTCACAGGACAGTCTAATATATTTCAGGAGGTGGTAGATAGGTTGCAGGCATTCGTGGGACCCAAGCTGCATGCAGTCGTGGGACCTAGGCTGCACTCTCCCGTGGGACATAGGTGGGTTGGGGGTGAGGGCCAGTTCTAGATGTTTTGGGGTTGTTAAAAGCATCAGAAAGCCTGGAAACCCAGTTTTACCACCCTCTAAAATGTTGGACTGTCCCGTGACGTCATCTGGGGTAGGATATCATGAAAGAACTTGAAAATGCAAAAATATCCAAAGGGATAGAAAAACAAATATGTCCTTATCGAGATAGATGAAAGTCATAGACTTATCAGAACAATTAGACGTGGGCAGTCAGTGTTTTTTTTGGACTTGTTATGAGAAGAAATGGACTTGTTATGAGAAGAAATGGACTTGTTATGAGAAGAAATGGACTTGTTATGAGAAGAAATGGACTTGTTATGAGAAGAAATGGACTTGTTATGAGAAGAAATGGACTTGTTATGAGAAGAAATGGACTTGTTATGAGAAGAAATGGACTTGTTATGAGAAGAAATGGACTTGAGAACTTGGTTACAACTAGCAAAATTGATGGACAGAGAGAAAAAAGGAAAGCTAAGCTATAATGACCTGAATGGCCTGGTCACATGGATGGGGCGAGAGAGAAACATTGACCTGATCTGTGATTCTGGTGATCATGTGAGATGGCGAAACATGACAGCCTATGCTTTCTGGCATGGCACACAATGATGCAGAAGAGCTTAAAAGCAATAAATACTGTGGCCTCACAGAGTTATCAAACACACTATGAAGTTTCAAGGCTGTATCCTCCCCAATGCACTCCTCCACCAGAAGCTGTTGGCACGTTGTGGGATGTTAGGTTTGGTATGGTGCATATAAGTACAGTGTGAGATGTCAGGTTTGGTATGGTGCCTATTAGTACAGTGTGGGATGTCAGGTTTGGTATGGTGCCTATTAGTACAGTGTGAGATGTCAGGTTTGGTATGGTGCCTATTAGTACAGTGTGGGATGTCAGTGTGGGATGTCAGGTTTGGTATGGTGCCTATTAGTACAGTGTGAGATGTCAGGTTTGGTATGGTGCCTATTAGTACAGTGTGAGATGTCAGGTTTGGTATGGTGCCTATTAGTACAGTGTGGGATGTCATGTTTGGTATGGTGCCTATAAGTACAGTGTGGGATGTCAGGTTTGGTATGGTGCCTATTAGTACAGTGTGGGATGTCAGGTTTGGTATGGTGCCTATTAGTACAGTGTGAGATGTCAGGTTTGGTATGGTGCCTATTAGTACAGTGTGAGATGTCAGGTTTGGTATGGTGCCTATTAGTACAGTGTGTGATGTCAGGTTTGGTATGGTGCCTATTAGTACAGTGTGGGATGTCAGGTTTGGTATGGTGCCTATTAGTACAGTGTGGGATGTCAGGTTTGGTATGGTGCCTATTAGTACAGTGTGGGATGTCAGGTTTGGTATG